CGTATGCATAAGCGTGCATCCCTCACTACTTTTAAATGAGTTACAAAAGTAATAAAATACCAGAAATCCTAATGACCACGCACATATACACAAAATGAGCATCAAATATTGATGGTATTTTGTATGAAATAAACAAGCCAGCTGCAGCTATGTTATGGTTGAAGAAGAGATCCGAATAATCCGAAAATAGGATTATCCGAAGTCCGAAGTGAGGGGGAGTACGGTAATCCTCGAATCCGGCAACTTGCTCTATCACCGGGAGGGCGAACATCTGTCCCAAGGAGTTGTCGGATTTATCGTCCACAAGTCTCTTGTTAACGACGTTGTAAAGATCCTGAGTGTGTCGACGAAGGTTGCGTACCTTATACTCAGAATCACCAAACGATGTTCGCTGAAGCTCATACAGGTTTACGCACCAACTTCGGCACACCGCGATGAGGAGGTGGAGGAAATGTATGAGGATATCTCTAGAGCCATGCATTCCTCCAAAACCCAATATACGGTGTTAATGGGAGACTTCAATGCAAAACTAGGCACAAGAGAGAACGGTGAGCTGAAAGTAGGGAAATTTGGAATAGGGCAACGGAACCCAAGGGGCCAGCAGCTGGCCGACTTCATGGAGAAAGATGGACTCTTTATGATGAACTCTTTCTTCCAGAAGCGGCCCCACAGGAAGTGGACCTGGTCGAGCCCCGACGGTTCGACAAAAAATGAGATTGACTTCATTATGACGACCAGACGAAAACTGTTCAGTGATGACTCCGTGATCGCGAGGGTGAAAACTGGTAATGATCACCGAACGGTTAGAGGCCCACTGAACCTAAACGTTAAGTTGGAGAGGTCACGTCTAATGAAGTCAACGCTCCATCCCCCTCGTGCTCTAATCCACAGTCGCGAAACCTTTCAGCTCGAGCTACGAAACCGTTTTCAGTGCCTAGAAAACTGCAATGAAGTGGACGATATGAATGACAAGGTCGTGGAAACTGTCCATGCGGTCGGAGCTAAGTTCTGCAAGACCCGCCGCAGAAGAACACAAAAACTCTCCGATCACACTCTTAATCTCATGGCTGTTAGACGGGATATGAAGCTACATTCTTCAATAGATTTGACAGCATACAGGCAACTGAACAGACAGATCTCCAAATGCATGCGGCGAGACTTACGCAACTTCAATACAGCTTGTATTGAAGAAGCGATCGAGCGGAACCAAGGCTCCAAAGTCTTTGCCAGAGATCTGTCTGCCTGTGAGTCATTACGAATCGTCTCGCGCGCAGACTTGACGACTTCCAGCCTCCCGAACAAGCCGATTTCCGAAAGGGCTTTAGCACCATAGACCACATACATATCCTTCGGCAAATTGTACAGAAGTCCGAAGAGTACAATTTGACACTATGTCTGGCGTATGTGAACTATGAGAAAGCCTTTGATTCCGTCGAAATTTGAGCGGTGCTGCAGTCCCTTCAGCGGTGCCAAGTTGACTGTCGGTATATCGAAGTGCTGAAGTGCTTGTACAGTAGGGCTATGATGGCTATCCGATTACAGAACCAGAGTACGAAACCTATCCAATTGCAGAGAGGTGTAAGACAGGATGACGTTATGTCCCCGAAACTCTTCACCGCTGCATTGGAAGACGTTTTCAAGCTTCTGGACTGGAAAGGATACGGTATTAACATCAATGGCGAGTACATCACTCACCTTCGATTTGCTGACGATATAGTCTTTATGGCAGAATCGCTGGAGGATCTAAGCACCATGCTCAATGACTGTTTTCCAACGGATAGGTCTTAAGACGAACATGGACAAAACAAAGATCATGTTCAATGTCCATGTCACACCTATGCCGGTAGTTGTTGGAAGCACTAAGCTCGAAGTTGTTGACGAGTATGTTTACCTGGGACAAATAGTCCGATTACGAGAAGTCCAACTTCGACCGAGTGGTCAATCGACGGATTCAACTCGGCTGGGCAGCGTTCGGGAAACTACGACACATCTTCTCGTCAGACATTCCTCAAAACCTTAAAACGAAATTGTACAACCAGTGCGTGTTGCCAGTGATGACTTACGGATCTGAGACGTGGTCCTTCACTGCTGGCTGTATGAAGACGCTCAAGGTCGCTCAGCGAGCTATGGAGGGGGCTATGCTCGGAGTTTCTCTGCGTGATAAACTTAGAAATGAGGATATCCGCAGTAGAACCAGAGTCACCAACATATCCCAACGGATTAGTAAGCTAAAGTGGCAGTGGGCCGGCCATATAGCTCGAAGAACCGACAACCGATGGAGAAGAAAGGTTCTTGAGTGGCAGCCTCGTACCGGTAGGCGAAGTGTAGAGCGACCCCCCACGAGATGGAGTGACGACCCGGTAAGACATGCAGGAAGTCGATGGATGCAGGTTGCTCCGGACCGTTCTTTGTGGCATTCCTTGGGGGAGGCCTATGTTCAGCAGTGGACTTATGAAAGGCTGTAATGATGATGATGATGAAGAGACAGTCTGCTGTCTGCGTGTTTCCTTCCGAGGAGTTGCCAACTAAAGTGAAGAGAAGACGAAGCGTGGGAAAAAATGGTGGCCTCGTTCTTCGGAAGGACAGGTCATTACGTAACATACGTGATTTAGAGGATCGAAAAACAGTTATTGCAGAGTGGTACACTAACAATTGTTTGCCACTTGTCTTGGAAAAAGTTCAGGAGAAGCTACTTCGCAGTAGGATCCTCCTTCACCATGACAACGCCTCGTCCCACACCGCCAAGCAAACAGTCGACTACTTGGCGACGTCAGATGTGGAATTACTGGGTCACCGGCCCTATATCCCTAACCCCAACAAAGGAAAACGTTTTATAGATGCCGAGGAAGCAGTGGCTGCGTTTCAAAATGCCGTCGAAGAGACTCCTAAGGACGACGCAAAGTGCTTTTCGCAGTGGTTCCATCGGATGCAGCGATGTATTGACATCATGTAAATGGACAATATTTTGAAAAGATAAAACTAATAAAATACTAGTTTGTTCAGTTTTTGATTTTCTAAGATCTTTCAGTGTCACCCTCGTATTGATATTAATTGCAGCACAAATGGGTTAGCTCAACCTGGACAGGACCATGCTCTCACAGAATAAGAGCGTGAAATATCAGCTTAACGCTGCTGTGTTTCGTATGGTTTGTGAAAAGAACCGGAGATCCTTTTCAATCGAAACGAGGCGTTCCATTTTAGTTCTTAGGGGTAACACAACGCACGAGATGTCTATGAGCCACGGCATCCACTTCCAATTAGATTAATTTTGTGCTTCTTTGTCACGCTTATTCTATAAAGAAACATGATGTAAGGAGTTTTGGTTTTGGGTCCACACTATCTATCTAGACGAGTTATAAGTTCTAAGTATTAATTCAACACGCATTGGGGCAGCGCGGCGGACACTTCCTTGCCTTTAACCCTCTCAGAAATGAGAGGAGAGCTCAGCTGTGGGATTTATTAGGCTGTAACTTTTAATTAGTAAATAGCAATTAGAATTGTATGATTTTTAACATTTTCTACTTTAATAATTTGTCTTTTTTATGTTAACAATCATAAATAATGCATGTATTTTGGATAGAATTAGGTGTTACTTTGCGGAAATCTATTGTATTAAGATACTAAGATCCGCTTAATAAAATAAAATGATGTGTTTTACCTAGTTTGAAGAGCACTTCCCGTCCTCTCTCAATTGCGTGCGCTATCCCCGTCACCACTAATCCCAGCACCATTACTCCCAACACCACTACAATAAGAAAGACACACCACCACATACTCGTAAGACACGTATTTCGCCTCTAGACGTGGCATCCTCAGGTGAAGTAGATTCTGCAGTGGCTGACTTAGAAACTAGGAAAGACTAAAGTTAAAGTTACAGCCTATATAAGTAAGTACTACTGCTGGGCACAGGCCTCCTCTCATTTTTGAGAGCGTTTTAGGGCAAGGAAGTGTCCGCCGCGCTGCTTCAATGCGTGTTGGCGAAATTCACATGTCTTCGAATTTTTTTTCTTTTTCTCAGACACACAGGTTTCCTCACGATATTTTCCTTCACCCCTGAGCATGTGGTAAATCAACACTTAAAATTGCAATTAACTATGTCATTGGTGCCGGTGGGTATCTAATCCGGGATACGCGGATCTTACTTATCTTCACGCACAATCCCTGACGGGGTAGCCAAAGAGAACAGTTATCTTAGTTACTTAATTTATTTAACATCTTTAATTTTACATATTTAAAGTTGTTTATACCAAATCATCTATAAATATGTGTAATATTGCAAATGTTTGATACTTTTCCGAGGATAAATATTTTATTCTTATAGTTCATTTCAAATAGGATGGCAGGATTCCACTTGAGACTTAGCAATTACAGCTGTAATGTTAATCTATTGTTGTGTGATTATTTTATTGCTTTAACACTTGAAGTTAAGCATCTGTTGATAATAATGAACCAGTATAGATGGAATGACGAATTTTGGTACTTGAACATTAAAACAAATTAAATTGTAGATAAAAAACCTTTATTACTTTTAACTTAACTATTTTAAATACTTATAACAACTTGTTAATATTTTGTTTAATCAATCACTCTGAAGAACATTCATCGGTATCTGTGTCCTCACACGTATTTATTATAAATGGTTGTATCCGATCCCTCGAAAATTCGTTTTCCACTCTTATGACATGGTCACAAACATTCTTCCAAAAAATTTTTTTAAAGATTTTTTATCTACAATTTAATTTGTTTTAATGTTCAAGTACCAAAATTCGTCATTCCAGCTATACTGGTTCAGTATTATCAACAGATGCTTAACTTCAAGTGTTAAAGCAATAAAATAATCACACAACAATAGATTAACATTACAGCTGTAATTGCTAAGTCTCAAGTGGAATCCTGCCATCCTATTTGAAATGAACTATACATTGATTGGCTTTTCAAGTTCAAAACGCCATTTTTAATCACTTTTCTGACATTTTCTACCTAAAATCCCTCTGATACATTTATTTATCTATAGGTGCATATGTTTCTACCAATTTCTGTACAACTGTGTCTAGCACTTTTTTTTTACAAGCAAGCTCCGTAGCGTTCGTTTGACTACAGTTGTGCATTAAGAAGCACTTCTCTTGATCCTCAGATTGTGAATATTTGCAGCAAGCGAGAATAGCAGCTTCACACTTCGATGGCTGAATAACCTCGTCTTCAGTTAGTACTGCAGGAGGTTCAGGAAAATACTGTAAATAAAAATGTTTTTATTAGGAAAATTAGCCTGACTATATTGGCGTTCAATGCATAGTCCTAACTTGCTTTATTAGTACAACAAAAATTAAGATGCGTAGTGATATCTTCATTGTCTTCATCTTCCGTTAATACTAAATACACTAGGTGGCTGGACACCTTTTAAATGATGGCCCACAAGTTGGCGCGAGATCCGTGTGGTGTCGGTTTTTTACAAAAGATCAAAGGGTTGTGGCAGAGTATTGGCCACCGCGTTCACACGTTGGGCGCACGTTCAGTTTGCTACAAGCTCCTAGAGTGATCGCACGCACCTGATTTAAATGTTATATGCACGAATTGTAACTAGTGTCTACATAATTGCAGTAACAATGACCAATGAAAAAACTTTGCGCATTATAGAGCCCTTCCAAGCCGAAAATCGTTTGTGAGACACAAGTCTTTCAAGTCTTTTTTAAAAAAAAACTTTACCCCCACACTAGGATTTTCTCCTGTATCGTGGAGGCATTTTACAAACATAAATTGCATAAGGACAAACATCCAGACTCGGAGCAATTACTTGCAGGCCATACAAATACTTGTTCCGTACGGGATTCGAACCCGCGGCTCCCAGCGCAGTAACTCATTGCTAAGCCACTACGCCACGGAGCCGTCAAGAAATAAAATTTCTTTTATTTTTATTTCTTTTTTATCCCCCTTTTCTTATACACATTCACATTGTAGTGGTATGCTGTGAATAAATAAACCACAGCAGCAGTTAGTGCCTCAATAATCATTTTAATAAATTCGTCCGCACATTGGCCTGAACCAAAGAAAACTGAACGACCTTCCAATGTGTGGACGCGATCACAAATTCTTGGCCAATATCTCTGCCAACACATTCGCCACTATGTTGGCCAACGTGAAGAGCCGCCATAAAGGGACAGTTTAATTAATCTGTGAGGAATTCCATCGTAATACTAGGTGACAACGCATATTTAGCATTTTTTGTTTAAAGTTGGTGTACGTGTTTATAAACTGCAGTAGCCACTTGTACTGACTTTTTTTTAAATAAACAGTCTACTGCCAGGTTTGGGTTTCTACTATAATAAACAGGATTTGCTGTAACAACGCTTCGTCGGTAGTTTAGCGACATCTACTATCATAGACGTTGCTCTCATGTTAGTCATAATATATATGGGATACAATGATTTCGTCCAGGATATATTGTGCGAATAGTTACAATTTTTTCCTACGCACAAAATACTCTCTTATTAGATTTTTTCTGTCCACGAGTATGTGATACGTCAGAAACTCTGGTTACTCACGTAATATGAAATTTAAAGCGGGCGCTTACGCCACTAGCTACTTACGGCTATATACGAGTATTTCACTTGCCTAACATAATTGACATTAATTGTTTTTAAACTTTAGATAAAAAATTCCATATATACAGTTTTCGTACAGAATAAGTGAAATGTGAATAATTGCCTTCTGACTTTATTGCCAGTTATTCTCAATTTATTACTGCAGTCATATTCATTTTGATAATGATCATTTCTGCTTTTACTAACATTCAGCAGAAAATCTTCTCATGTTATTATTGTTGTACGTTGATTAACAATCGTGTGATCGATAAACTATTGTAGATACAAACAAGAGGTGCAGAGATATATCTATTTAATGATATTACACAGGTCAGACATAAAAACTTGTTTAATATTCAAATATTCTTATTATTGTCTTTCATCTTGGTCTTAACGTTTTCTTGGTTGTAAACAACATTAAAACAGGCTTATTATAAACAAGTTTTGGACAAGTGGTTTCTGTGTCAATAAAATTGGAGCAATCCTATTTCAAAGTTTATATTTATGACCTTAAAATTCAATTTTGTGACTTAGCTTGAAAGTTCACAAATGGAGGCTTTTAGAAGAAGAGAAGACTTAAAGAAGTTAATTTAATTGAAGTTGGTTTGTTTGTGTAAAAGTTTCAAAAGTCTCTTTGAATATGAAAGTACATAATCATAAGCAGCATCTAAATCGTACCTCTATCCAATATAAAGATTATTGGTAAGGAAATTTATAATGTATATATCACACGGTAGAGAAATGTTACAGCGTAATATGGCTGTAGCATGAATGCGTCAACTCACAGTGGCATTTTAATTCTTAATCGAGGATAAATTTAGGTGTCTATATGTCACAGTATTCGCTTACTATCAAATGGACTATGTGCTTTTTGGTCATCTATTCTTCATATTTCGTTCATTACTTTATTTAACGTAGTAGAGCCATGCTGCAGCTATATTATGTTTGTAGCACGAATGGGTCGGCTCGACCTGGTTAGGACTACGATTTCACAGAAAACCATCGTAAAGTAGCAGCTGCTGTGTTACGTATGGTGAGTGTAGAGAACCGAAGACCTTGTTTACTGCAGTACTGTATATGCGGCATTACATCATAGTCCTCAGGGGTGACAACACATCTGGATTTTGAATCTTAAAAAATAAATTTAGATGTCCACGGGCCATAGTATCTACTTACCATCAAGTGGCCTGTATGCTCGTTTGTGGGTGACAATAATTATATAATAATTATTATTCTATAAAAAAGGAATTACAGAATATTAACCCTTTCACTGTGCCGTGCACTACATATAGGTCATTGCTATTGTCTTATTATTGTGTCTGGAAACCTGACAGTGAAGGCGTAAAACGTCCACTGCTGCATAGACATCCCTAAGAAAGGATTTTGGTAAATTAAACCCCTAAGGTAGTGAAATAGGATGTTACAGTTTGTATGAAACTTTTATTTTACGGCGCGATTAGCTCAGAACTTAATGAAAGTACTCTAAATAAAATAAATGAAAGATTTTGCGATTTTTCAAAACATATGGGTGGCCAGAGGAAGAAATTATTGTGGATTTTTTATTTGAAAATGGTTGGAAATACTCTTGAATGAAAATTATAAAATATTCATTATTATGTTTTCAAAATTTACTCATAAGGTTTTTAAAACAAGTGTGCAATTTTTTTTTATGAAAACTATTGTGTTTAGACCCTCAGTTCAAACCACTGGACGTAGAAACGTGATTTTAAGACAATAAGGTTCCTTATGGTACTTAAGGTTTATTATGAATTCTTAACTTACTTAAGGATTTTAGAAAATTCAAGTGCTCTAGAGGGTGACATAGGGTGTTATAGTGTGTGTGTGACACGTCTTTATACTTCCTTATCTATTTCATATAAAATAATTAAGTGATTATCGTATCTTGAAAATAGGTACTTTTACTTTAAGAATTTAAATAATGAAATGCACATTTATAATTTTCCGAAAATCTAACCATTAACTGTTATGGTTTTTTTTTAAATTGTAAGATGGTGGAGAAACCCTTAAAAAAATAATGATAATTATGGATAGTAAATATCTTAGAACTCAACTAAATGTACCTCTATTTAAAAGGCGGATCGATAAAATTTGGCATTTGGTCTTTTCTGTTTTGTACGAGAAGAGAAAGATTATATGAGCCGTTTTCACTGTTTGCAAGGTCTTAGTTTAACTTGAAATACATGGACGCCGGTAAAACCGGGGAGCAAAAAGCTAATTAACATAATATAAATATACATAACCAGTATGTGCATATTGATTCTTTGGAGAACATACATATTATACATTTCTGTCGGTCACAGCATCCGCTTATCATTAGATAAACTCTGCTCGTTTGTAACCTTTAGATACATAACCAATATTATTTATTTATTTATTCTTTATTGCACCAAATATTTGCACAAAAAGCGAGTTAATGCTATATGGCATTCTCTACCAGCTAGCCTTGGGTAGAACAGAGAGTGAGTTTGGGCAGTTAAGTTGTCATGATATAAATTAGTTCAAATATGTACATGCAACACATATATAACATATACACATATATATAAAATATATATAATTCATATACATATATAAATAAATACACACATTTATACATATATATCTCAATAAATGTATATAAAAATAACTATAAACATATAAAGTAAATTGATTCAACTTTGTAGGCTGCGAATATGCTCATATAGTTTTCTTTTAAAACATTTTTGGCAGCTATTGTTCGCAGATCAACAGGCAATTTGTTCCAGAGGGTAATGGAAGTAACTGTGTAAGAATTTGACATAGACCCATAATGGTGGAGATGAGTGGACAGGAATAAACAAAATAAATAAAATAATAATGTTTAATGGTTAAATACTCACAATAGTATTTTCATCTTTGCTATGGTTGCTTTTGTTCGACGAAGGTAAAACTTCCGTTACAGAATGTGATAAAATCGGCTTCGAAAAGTCATTGTCATTATTATCGACTCTGTTATGATTGTGTACAACCGTTGAAGAGTTTTCTATACCGTCGATTTTCTTGAAAGTACTATCATCATGGGAATAAATATATTGCGGGACTGAGTATGGCACAGGAAAAGGATAAGGGACGTAGACGGTTTGACAGGGTGAATGTTGTTTTTGCGATACCAAACTTAGTTTAATATCATGTAATAAACTGACAATTTCTGTCAAAAGAGCTTCTTGGGGATTATCGTAATAATATTCATGATGCTGGTGTGGGGGATTCGTTTGGTCGTAGTTTGTCGACATCCGTTCACGTCCTGGTCTCAGTTGCGCTGTGTTTTGTATATCTTGTAAATTAGAGTGAGGTTTGTGTTTAACATAAACTGAAGAGTGACTTTCAGCTTCACTGATGTCTACCGCATTCACAAGCACAGTCAGTAGCAAAGCGATTGATTTCATCTGAAATTAAAATTAAATAAGTAATCAAATTTAAGATTAAAATTTTTGATTTACAATTTTTAATTAGTAAGAAAAATTTTATTTTTCTAATCATTATGCCAAGTATCCATCCTATGAGGCAATCTATGGGGGAGGTCTGTGTTCATCAGCAGACTTTTGATAAGCTGTAAATAAATAAAGAAGGTAAATAAAATAAATACTAATAAATAGAACAAACAAAAAGATCAACAAAAACCTCGATAAAGAGTACGTAGCTTATGTTGAGAATTGACGCATCGGGAAGTCTATAATTTGTGAACACGTTTTGGATCTCCCACGCTATTATATCAGATTTGCTAGGCCATAAATCCTCGCAAAAGAACACCGACTCCTACCAAGAATGATTCCTGTGGCTAAAAAATCATCCTAATTTCAAAATAGCAGATGGCTGTGTGCTTAGGATCCTATAGTTATTAAACTAAAATCCCAACCCTTCAGTTACTGCAATACTTCAGTTCACTTCATTTAGGTTTTAAAAATTTCTCAGACATACAGGTTTTTACGGACTCTAACTTCTCTGTTAGAGTCAGACTAAGATTTTTTATTGCCATAATATAGAATATTATATTAAATGTGTATCCACAAACGCATTCTTTGGTTTCGGTGGGGATTGATTTTGGCTTTCGTGTACTTTAGAATTTAAAGCATTGTCTAGTCATTGTCTATCATTGCCGGTGGATTTTAGACAAATATCATTAAAAAATATTGTATCAAAGTAATATTACGATTTTTATCGCATTACATTTTACTTATTTTTATACCCAATGTCTTAGGTGCTTTGCAACATCTATGGCCTCGGTGAATAGAGGTATTGGACGTCTCAATGTTAAAGATAACTCGGAGATCTTTCTTTTTTAGAGTAAGGGTGACAAACGAGCACACAGTCCACCTGATGGTGAGTGGATAATGTGGCTCATAGACATATATATTTATCTCCGATTAAGAATGAAAATGTAGATGCATTGTCACCCCTGAGAACTAAAATGAAATGCCTCGTTTCCAGTAAAAAGAGTCTCCCGTTCTCTACACTGACCATACGAGTCACAGCAGCCTTACGCTGCTATTTCGCGCTGGTGTTCTGTGAGAGCGTGGTGCTACCCTATTCGATTCTACAGCTGCTGATCCATTCGGCTACAGCATGGCTCTACCACGTAGAAAACGATCTATGCAAAATAAGCTTACTGTGTTTTGAAACTTCAAGCACTGCACTGCACTGGGATTCTTGGGTTTAGTTTTAATTTTATTAATTACTGATCTCAAGCAGATGGCAGTAACCAGCCTCCTTCTCTATTAAAATTAAGATTTTTTTAAATTTCTATAGCCTCACGTAACATGCCTGGGCCGTCTTAGATAAGATCACGGACTGCAGACTTCCCCTGAACATGGTCTTTCACGTCACTGAAAATCGTAGTTACTTGACTGTATTGAAAAGATGAATATTAATTTTGTGTAATTTCTAATGTTCTTTTTTAATAGTCTGTGTACTGTGTATGTCAAAGCAAAACAGATTTTATGTTTTGTATTTTAAATCTGTGTTTTATATACTAATATACAATCACAAATCGAAAGTGAAATACAGCTTGCAGTTACTGCTTTATAGATTGTTTTATAAATTTCGACCACCAGGCGACCACTAGTATATACCTACATTGCCGCCATGTGTATTACCTATGCATAGTTCCATTCATTCCACCATAAACAGGTAATTAATTATATAGGTAAAACAAAACATTTTTTTATTTATTGAATCTAAGGTTGACTTAGGTATTTTGTATGTGGTTCATTTAATATTTTAATTTTTTCGAGTTCATTGTAATTTCTTTAAATTCGTATATTTCTTTAAAGTCATAAGCACACAATATTAAATGTTTTAATCATATAACATAAAAATATATAGAATATAGCAATGTAACATATTATTAATTTTATTTTTTTAGTGCTTTCTTACACCTACACTTTTAGAGTCGACAACGAAACGAAAACGAGCAGACGTAATGTAAATTAATAGTTTCAAGTAAAAATACAAACCTTTTGAATTATTGACATTTCTCACTATACAATATAATTTTAAAGGTTTACTTTGTGTTTTAAGTTTCAAAATAGACACCGTATTTGTAACACACAACACGCGGATATAAATAATACGCGCGGTCACTGAAGTGTTTCGTTGAATACTAATCTAAAAATAAATATCGTGGTCTTAATCATTATTTTTACCATTCATCAAGATACTTACGTTGGCCCTCCGCTGGTCGTTCAGCGTTCGCGTGCAGAACTGACAATGCCACCCCTTCCTCTATCCTGTTTTCCCTGATTAGGCTTCTATATAATAGGTCTTTACCTATGAAATTACCGTTCTGCAGTAGGTACTTACTCGTCATTTCAAATCAAAATAATTTTAGTTTGGCTAAGAATTCTAATTTCAAATTAATTTTATTTTAAAACATGGTATTCTTTTTTCACAATTATTCATTTGTTTATTAATTAGTGTTATGTTTCATTGCATTTGAATCTTTTTCGTCATTATGAATACGTTAAAATTCGAGTAATTATGGAATAAGTAAAATAAATCCGATTTCATATGGTCACATGAAAGATGAATATTATTACCTTGGTGATGTTGATGAAACACCTTTTACATTTTATATCTGGAAGAAATAATTACCTGTGTAAATGTCAACCTCGCCTGCGTACAGTGAATGCTTGTTAACTAAAGAACGAGGCTGAAGATAGATTATACGGCACAATATTCTTTCAAAAATGTCAAAAAAAAAAAAACAAATACCAAATGAGAGGTGAACGAGCATTACTATGCTTGAGCATTAACGAGCATTATCAGTGTAAATGTGTTAGTATGGTTAAATCTTTTATATTATGCGTACAATATATAAAATACATGCAATTAAAACATGCTTCCAAAAACGTTTGAAATTGGTATGCCCATCTCTATAAATTCATAAAAAATATTTTTAAATCTCTCTAAGTTTTCACGTTCTAGCAAATTAATATTTTTATTTTAGTTCTGCCAGGCGCTTACCATTGATTTCCTGAAAAAGTATCGGTGGCGAAAAATAATAATGGCCTGCTATAATAACTGAATGCACGAATATAAAAATGTTACTTAACCATTTTATTTTCGTTAATTCGGTATGTTTATTCGCACATTAATAAAGTTAAGGTAATTTTCTATTCAGTTTATTTTAATTTATATGAAAGGCATAAATAAATCTGTTATTATTAATCTTACGTTGTTTCCTTTTTAAAGAAAATAACAAACTTAAATATTTTGCCTGCCATTTTATTAAAATTTTCCAATTTTTCTGTGATCAGAGATAAATCTTTACACAATAAACTTGTTAAGATGTTTTGCTATATTTAAAATGGTAGGCGATATTCTAACTATAAATTAATTTGCTTTTAAATAATACCTTGCATATATTTTCATAATATCGGCTCCTTATCCTTACAACGATCTAGCAGTACCATTGTGTAACTCTGGGAATCGTTGCCGTGGGAGTCACTCTGCAACTGCGTTATGTTTCATTATTATAATAACAATTTCTAAACTACAATATGTTATTTATGTAAAAAAAAGATGCTGGTTTGTAATCGATGCTGATAAAACACCAAAAGTCAAAACGAAACCAACTGTTGTGGGTAGTCTAAAAATATTATATATTAGGAAACCGCCTTTATTAATAAAGACAGTTGTCATCTGAACTCTGTTGTTTCATTGTCACTACATGGTGGCAGCGGTTAAAATACCTAAATAGTTTTGGATTTTACGTTTGAATAACGTTAATTTGTATTCTAAATTAAGTGTAAAGGATGGAGCATGCAAGACCGCCAACCGAATTGAGTTTAGATGGCAGCCCCGTCGGCCGGGCTGACGCATGGAAGCGGTGGAAGGCACAATTCAATCTTTTTCTTAAAGCATCGGGGGTGCACAAAGAAGAGGGAAGCATACAGGCGAGTTTGCTCATTAATCTGATTGGATCAGATGGATTTGATGTTTATGAGACTTTTACATTCGATTCAGAAGAGCAACGTGAGGACATCGAAATATTGATGAAAAAATTTGACGAGTATTTCGGTGTTCAATCTAATATAACATTACTGAGATATAATTTTTTTACGAGGTATCAAGAAACTGGAGAATCTATTGATCAATATGTAACAGCGTTAAAGTTACTCAGTAAAAACTGTGAATTTAAAAATTTAGAGCAAGAGTTGATTCGCGACCGTATTGTGTGCGGCATAAGGAGCACAATTGTAAGGGACCGGTTGTTACGGACAGATGAATTGACTCTGGAGAAAGCAATTAAAATATGTCAAGCTGATGAAATGTCAACAGACAGCAAGCGTGTGATGGAGACAGGTAGCTTCGGCAGTTCGGCGAGCTGCGGGCCCGTGCGCGTTGAGGCGCTGGCGATGCGCGGTGGCGAGCGGCGCGGTGGCGGACGCAGCGGCGGGCGCGGCGGCCGGCGCGGCGCGCGAGCTGCGCACGGCGGGACCGCGACGTCGCCCTGTCCGCGTTGTGGTGCTCAGTGTACTGATGTAGATTCATGTCCAGCTATTTCGGTGAAATGCTATGTGTGCGGTAACTACGGCCATTACGCTAGGATGTGCAAATGTAAAAATAGTGTTAAAAAAATGTATGAAATAGAAGTGAATACAGAAAAATCTAATAATGATGATTGTGAGTCGTTTTATGTATCTGTGTTAATGGACAAAACGCAGAACAAAATCGGCGGCGATGACTGGTACGAGGTATTAAGAGGTGAGTGTGGCTTTGAACGTTTTAAGCTGGATACCGGTGCCGACATTAATGTGTTATGTTATAAGAGATTTTTAACGCTAGGGTTTGACACGGAAATGATATGCAATAATAATAAAATGAAATTACAGTCGTTTAGCGGGGATGTTATTCCGATAAGAGGAGTTAGTCATCTTAAATGGTGGCATAAAAGTAAAATGTATGTTTTAAAATTCGCAATAGCAAATATTAATTGTGAAAGTGTGCTGGGTCGACAAGCGTGTTCGGAACTAGGGTTAATTCAACGGGTTTACGGCATTAATTTGGTAGAAAATTCGGATCTTTTTGAAGGCTTAGGATGCTTACCTGGTGAGTACCATATAGTTATTGATAAATCAGTTAAACCTGTAGTTTGTGCTCCGCGAAAAGTACCTCTAGGATTACGTGATAAATTATTAGAAGAATTAAACAGGATGACTGACTTAGGAGTCATTAGAAAGGTCACTCACCCAACACAATGGGTTAATTCAGTAGTAATTGCAGCAAAAAAGAACGGAACATTGCGAATTTGCTTAGACCCGAGACCTCTTAATAATGCTATACAGCGTGCACATTTCCAACTGCCAACCATTAAGGAACTTGCCACTAAAATTCACGGAGCTAGTTTTTTTTCAGTATTAGACGCAAATTCAGGTTTTTGGGCAATAAAACTTGATGATCAGAGTTCAGACTTATGCACCTTTAGTACACCGTTTGGGCGCTATCAGTATTTAAGATTACCTTATGGGTTAAACTGCGCTTCAGAGGTGTTTCATGCTAAGATTAAGCAATTAATAGAGGATTTAGATGGAGTAGATTCTTTTATAGACGATATAATATGCTGGGGACGAAATAAAGACGAACATGATAGGCGTTTAAATGCATTATTAAATAGGGCTCGTGAAATTAATTTAAAATTTAATAAAGATAAATGTCGTATATGCGTTGAGGAAGTAACTTACTTGGGTCATATATTTAACAAAAACGGGATGAAACCAGATTTAGAAAAAGTAAAAGCAATAAAAAATATGCCAACTCCAAAAGAACGAAAATCATTAGAACGATTTTTAGGAGCCGTAAATTATTTATCTAAGTTTATACCTAAGTATTCTGAGCGTATTTTTCCGCTTACTCGATTATTGAAAAAGGACACAGAATGGTGTTGGGAGAGTGAACAACAGAATGCGTTTGATTTATTAAAATATTTAATAAGCAAATCACCCGTGTTGGCTTTATATGACGTATCGCAACCGGCTGTAGTTTCGGTGGACGCGAGCAGTGTAGCGCTAGGAGCCGTGCTGTTGCAGGGCGGCCGACCTATTGAATATACTTCATGTACACTCACCGACACACAGACACGATATGCGCAGATAGAAAAAGAAATGCTAGCTATTCTCTTTGCGTGTGAAAAGTTCCACCAATATATTTACGGTAAAAGTGATGTTTTAATTGAAACAGATCATAAACCGTTAGAAAGCATTTTTAAAAAGCCCTTAGATTCGATACCAGCACGCTTACAGCGAATGATTTTACGATTACAATGTTATGATTTGATAGTTACATATAAGCCTGGAAAATATATGTACTTGGCCGATACATTGTCACGTGCTCCTATTCCAGAACTATATAATGATAAAGTGAGTGATAATGTATTATGCCAAGTGCATATGATAGTTTCTAACATGCCCGTTTCACATAAAAAATTAAGTGTAATTAAAAATGAGACTTTGAAAGATAATAACTTAAAACTTTTAATGAGATATATAAATCAGGGTTGGCCGGAATATAAAAGAGACATTGAAGATAATTTAAAATATTATTGGTCAATGAGAGGAGATTTATTTTGTGTAGATGGCGTTATATTTAAAAACAAACAAATATTAATTCCCAGTTCCTTAAGAACCGAAATGTTAAAAATTATACATGATGGACATTTAGGGATAGACCGCTGTAAAAGGCGCGCACGTGAAGTGCTATTCTGGCCAGGGATTTCTTATGATATAGAGAGATATGTAAATAGGTGTGTAGTGTGTCGAGAGAATTCAAATAACTCGAGTAAGGAACCGATGATTGCTGTTTCTATTCCAAATTTACCATGGAGTAAAATCGGGACAGACATATTTCAGTATGGTAAAAAATCATATCTGATTATTGTGGACTATTATTCATGTTTTACGGAAGTAGCATTGTTACATGAAACTACTTCTAAAAGCGTCATAAACGTACTGAGAGAAAATTTTGCTAGGTATGG